TTTTTCTTATTCTATTTATTTAATATCATATATCATATAATTATAAATTTATCATTTTAAGTGATACTATTTTTTATACTAAACTTTAAAATTTTTAAAATTATATTAGTTTCAACTAATTTAAAATTAAATCACAATAAATCACATAAATTTTTTTAATATCAATTGCTATATTTATTAAATTTAAATTTAAGATTTTATTTAAATAATATTTGTATCCAAATATATGACTTTATTTTATTTAGACTTTATTTAAATAAAAAAATTAAATAATCAAATAACTCAAAAATCCCACTCAAATGTCATTCTTGTCATATAAGCATGACATGGCAATATTTTGCCATCCAAGCAGCCAAGCTGATGTGTCCCAAACGGCAGTTAAGCCAGGCAACGGAGTCCTAAACGGGCAGTTAAGTTGGCAGAAGAATAAGGGCTTAATTGCTTTGATCCCAGAGTTCAAGGGTTTACATGCATCAATTAAAGTTTAGGGGCTTAATAGCGATTCTGGAGTTAGTTCAGGGGCTTAACTTATGGTTTTACCTTCATTTTTTCTTGTTTCTTTCTGCAACTACTTTCTCGGAAACCAATATTAGCCTTTCTTGTAAGGCCATGGCATGTGAATGTTTGACCCCACTGCTTTCATTTTTTTTTGTTTCTTTCTGCAACCACTTTCTCGGAAACCAATATTAGCCTTTCTTGTAAGGCCATGGCATGTGAATGTTTGACCCCATTGCTTTCATTTTTCTTGTTTCTTTCTGCAACTACTTTCTCGCAAACCAATATTAACTTTTTTTTTTTAACAAAGATAATAATTAAAAAATTAATTTAAATTAATTATTGATAAATAAAAATTTGATTTTCAAATCGAATAAATATTTTACCTTTTAAATAAGGCACGCCAGCATCGAATGACTTTGATGGAGTTTCAATATTAGCCTTTCTTGTAAGGTCATGGCCAAGGTTTTTAAAACCGAATTGGTTATTAAACCGTTTTTAGGTCTGATTTTTAGTTTGACCGATTCAATTGGTTGAATTGATGAACCAGTTGGTTCAAATAACAAGGGAAATTTGATGAGAGGGATAGGTAATTTTGTAATTTCATTAAAATTAAGGGTTAAAATCGGTATAAGAAAGGAATGGTGAGGGTGAAATTGGAAAAAACAAAAAGAAAATTGTATGAGAAATTGAATCGGTGGTTTTTTCGGTTCTATCGGTTCCACCGATTTCATCAGTTTTAACTGGTTTTGAACGGTTTTGAACTGTTTTTGACCAATTTTGACCTCAAACGGTTTTTTTATATGAACCAAGCCATTTTCATTATTGGGTACTAGTCCGACCGATTCAACCGACCGATCCAATCCGGTTTTAAAAACCTTGGTCATGGCATGTGAATGTTTGACTCCACTGCTTTCATTTTTTCTTGTTTCTTTCTGCAACCACTTTCTCGGAAACCAATATTAGCCTTTCTTTTTCTCTTTTTCTTTTTTTTTGACAAGGGTAATGATTAAGAAATTAGTAGAGTTAAATGTTAGCAACTGGAACTTCCCAGATTGGTGAACATTCCACCCCTCAAATGAGGCGCACGACCATTTGATCGCAAGTTGGTGGAGTTCACAACAGTGACAGAGTTCGAAACCCTGACTTCCTGCCTCACCCAAACCCTAAGGCTTGGGGCCAATCACTGGGCCACAGTCCCGGTTGGCAATATTAGCCTTTCTTGTAAGGCCATGGCATGTGAATGTTTGACCCCATTGCTTTCATTTTTTCTTGTTTCTTTCTGTATCTACTTTATCGGAAACCAATATTAGCCTTTCTTGTAGGGCCATGGCATGTGAATGTTTGACCGTACTGCTTTCATTTTTCTCTTGTTTCTTTCTGCTTACCAATACTCTGCAGGACTGAGGATCATCAAATTAACGGCAAAATCTCACGTGCTCTCACGTGTCCGTTACTCTTCCATCCAAAATCACCATGTCACATGACAGGTCAGCATTTTTTCCGCCTTGGAATGCCACTGAATTAATTAAATTTTAAAATTTTTTATTTTAAAACAAAAAATAATAATAATAATAAACTCTGTCGTTTCATCTTTCTCCTTCGCTATCTTCATCAATTTTTTTCGCTTTTCGAAGGGGTTTATGTGGGCTTCGTGGAAACCACGGTTTCCATGAAAAATCCAAATTAGGTTCTCCGATGAGAACCCACCATCGGAATCTCCATGGAACCCGATGTGGATTCTTTGGAAAACCCAGTTCTGGGTGAATTTCAACCTATTTTCCAGTATTTTCGTTCATTTTCACTTGACAATTTCGATTGCATGTTATTTTCCTTGCTAGATTAAGGATTCGATTTGTCATACTTGATCGATTTACGGTATTCCTCTTTTATATTCCGACGATCTGTTTCTTTTCTTGTAGAAATCTGCGAAGTTTTGGAGAATCTTGAGATTATCATGTTCTATTTATGATAATTGTTGACGATTGACGTTGTGGCTTAGATATAATTTTGAGTATGATATTTATTTTGTTGATTTGTTATCCAGCGATTCTGTCAACGAATTTATCAAGCTTAGGAATGCAGTTGGATTTGGGGCTGTTTTTTGATTTTTTTTTTTTTTATATTTATTTTGTTGATTTATTATCCTTCAGTTCTAATCTCTACAAAGTTCTCCAAGGAACCCGTATCGGGTTCCATGGAGATCCCGATGGTGGGTTGTGGTTCTTCATGGAACCCATGGCTTTCAGAAACCCAATAAGATCTGGTGATGATGGAGAGAGAGGGGTAGAGGAAGAAGAAATTATTTTCTCAGTTTGATGTGGGTTCTTTTGGCAACACAGATTGTAGTTCTATGGAGAACCCAGATTTGGGTTTTTGTTATAATTTTCTTGGTTTAATTTTTCTTGGCATATCCAATGAATTTCCTTGATTGGAATGATTTAGAATAAATTATTATTGAATTTTTTTGG